ATTTTTTTTTTAAATTCAAGTGGTAAATTTTTTTTTCCTTTCCCGTCCCCCCCCCCCCCGTGGGGAGTCATGGTAGCCTCCCTCCTACCTGTAAGAACTCCTTTGTGAGCATGAAGATGAGAATAAAAGTAAGCACTGCTTTCTAAAGGGCATTTTTCGAAATTAAATTTCTCTTACATTAATATGGTAGTTTTGTAGGTAAAAAGGAAATAATAAATAATTGTTTATGCTAATATTAATTTTATTGTGAGATCTTTTCCGAGTGTAAATCTTGCATTAAAAGTGAAATAAAAACAAATTAGGAGTGATTTGCATAAAACAATCCTTACAGAACATGTTCAAGCCCTGTGATTAGTATCTCTAGTGACATATAAGACAAATATGGCACCACAATAAAATCATTCATGTTCCAAAATAGATATTAAGAGGTTCTTTTGTGCGCAGCACTGTCCAAGGTGCTAAGGAAGCAAAGATAAATCAAGAAATTGTCTCTGTGCCGGGGAGGGTTAAGCATATTGGTAAGAATTGAGAAAATTTAGGTAATTTCCTTATTGTCCTTCAAATATTTTGGGGGAGGTGTAAAAATGACATCTGTGACATCTATAATGAAAAGCTCAAACCCTGACTAGCATATTAAAATAAAGGGAAAAAAAGCAAAATGAAAGTGTAATCACAAGTTATTTTGAATTTATACGAGGCAATTTGTCATTATGTACCCAAACTTGAGTTGTAATAGTCTTAACAAACTAAGAGCCACAGGTCTCATTCAATCAAAATAGATAAAATGGATAAAAATATTTTTCAGATCACTCTTTACAAATAAAATACTGATATTGTAAACACAGTCTAAGGACACAAAACATACTTGGTTCTGCTTCTCTAAGAATGTATACTCTGCTCATGCATCTATGTTTCAATTTTTCCTGAGATAGTAATGGTTATTTCAGTGCAAACAGCAAGTTTAAAGTCTTAAGAAAAATAGAAACCAAATTATTATGCATGCTTAAGTCAGTTAATGTGACTAAATATTTCATTTTATAATTTAGTATTATGTGATTTCAAGGGCAAAAACTGTAATAATATAGAATATGTATAAGCAATATTTAAGATGCTTCTTTACACATGTAAATATTCCGTAAGGAAAAGAACTTTTGAACTGGAAATTCGTTTGGTTTATTCCTTTATTTGCTGGTTAAAATTATATTTTTCCAATTAAACGAATCCCAAAGATGATTATTCAAAGATTTTTCCAGAATTTAGAAAAGGCTTCGGCATTATTTTTACTGTTTTGGAAGAAAACAGGCCAATTGACTTTTTTTTTTAAGAAAATCTAATTTTATTAATATTATTTTTTACATTTTAGGATGTTGTTGCAGAGCAGTTGGGAGGGAGGGGGAGAGGGAAAAGAGGAAAGAAATGGGATGGAAGAAGAAGGAAGGAGGGAGGGCAGGATTGAGGCCTGTGGCACACCCCTTATTCCCACAGGGGAGACTGGGGGGCTTCCAATGATGGCTCGGTCAATGCCAGACTGGGTGCAGATGTCAGGGGGATGTGGCAAAGCCCTCACTCACCACTGTCCTAGCTCAGGAACCTGCGCCCTCTTGCTGCGGCTTGGGGGTCGTCTCTGGGCTGGTTGCACATGTTGGGGGGCGTGGCTGAGGCCCAAAGCCCCCCAGTGCCCAGGCTTGGGAGAGCCCGGGGTGCTTCCTGTGGTTGTTTGGTGGTTGTCGCTTGCCTGGTTGCATGTGCCAATTGACTTTTTAATGTCTGTAATAATGAATCATCTGACTCTAGCACAAGATGTGGATCTTCGATCAAGGGAAGAAGGCTAAAGTCTCAACTTCAAAGCCCTTTAAGAAATATATAGCATAAAATGTCTACCTTTTTATTCTCATGACTTTACCA